TGACATCTTTTCAGCTGGACAAGCCATGCTGCTTTCTGAAAGCAGAAGGAAAAGGAAATACAGCAGAGCTTGCAATGCACTGGTAATTTTGTTCAGGAATGATAGTTCCTGCAAGGCTCTGGGTCAGTACCATGGCCTCCCCATGAATGGGGCTTGTTGTCATTGTCCTCATGGTGCAAATGTTCAAAGTATCTCTGGTTTACATAAAATTAATAATTTAAAATTATTGCTATTCCATACCACCTACCTTCATTCATCTTTTTTTTTGCTTCTTTGTCAATCAGTGAAGGAGAACCCCAAATCTCCACTTTCCTGGGTGTTCTTCACAATAGAGCTGTAGGTGGTTTGTTCCCAGGTTTTCCCAAGCAGCTCCATAAAGGGCCAGGGGACTGGGAAAAGTGATGTGCAACTGGGTTACCAGGAAAATAAAACCAGGACAGCTGAGTAAAGACAACTTAGATAGGCAGGGGAGTTAAAATACTATTTTTTAAAACTGATTTTGATTAGTCTGTGGGGAATAGGCAAAAGGGTCTCTCTACTTCTCTCCAGAGCCACATCCCAGCTGCAGGAGGTCAGGGACAGCAAAGGGTCCTCGGCCAACTGGCTGCTCGATTTCTAACCTACAAGAATCAAGCTGAGGATTTCAGAAGCAGAAAAGAAACAGAAAAGGGAGATTAGAAGGGAGGTGAAAGGCAGAAAAGGGAAGAAGGAGAAACCTCCTGGACATTTGTTATCTGCTGCTACAGGGAGATGAGTTGGGAACCACTGCAAGTGCCCCTGCTCCCAGTGTGCACCAACATCCGTGTGATGCTGGGACGGAGCCTTTCAGGAGCCAAGAGGAACAATTATGCCTTCCATGCAAAGCAACAAGACCCACTTCTCCACTCCACAGTCATGTCCCAGAAATCTAATAAAAAGGGAGATTAGCCCCTCTTTCCTCTCTTACATCTCCTTAATGCTGTCATTTTATTCACACTTTGCAAAGCAAATAAAGCAGCAAATTGCTTGCTTTAATGAGCTGAAATTAAACTCAGGCTGCTGATAAAATGCCTTTCCTCCTTTCTGTTGTTGGGAAGGACTCGTCTGATAGGCAACGCACAGGAAAGATGAGAGAATGCGCAGCAGGAGCCTTATTGAACAACTTTGAGTCATTTTTACCCCTGACACCTCCAATTAGATGAGGGAGGCACACAGGTGATGAGAAGGCTAAAAGGGATCAGCCTGGCAAGGCCCATGGATGGTCTGTGTCTGCTCTTTGCTCACAGGATTGTCCTGCTCCAATAGCTGGTGCCCTCTGACACAGGCTGCAGCCCACAGCCTCCCCAGGGAGGAGTGACAAGAAACCTTCCTCTGCAAGAAAAAAGCTGGTCTGGCTCTGCAATCCCAGAGAGGTCCAGAGAGGATGGTTGGGTCAAAACGGGAAACACAAGCTGGTCCAGAGAGGATGGTTGGGTCAAAACGGGAGTCGGAGGAGACAAGATAAGTGCTGGCTAAGGAGAATATGCCAGGATGCATCTCTCCCTGCTGCTGGTCCTGTCTCAGTTTGACAGGGCTTCCCCAATACGCACAGGCCCTTGGAGAAAGACAGGGAGATACTCACTCTGTGGGCAGCAGATAAGGGACAACTAGGGTGAGCCATTGCTGGTGGCTCTGCAGGCCAGGACAACCCTTCTCCCACATCCTCAGGTGCAATGTGCACTCTCACTGGACAGTCTGAGGATCTGGAGACCAGGCTGGCCCCTGTGGCAGAAGAGAGTGGGCACATCTAGAGCCCAGCTTGCAGCTGGAGGGGGAGAAAGTCTCCACGTGCAGCACAAAGCATCTACTGGGATTTTCATCACAAAAGATGAGCTCGGCGCACTTTCCTTCGGTCTCCCACAGCTCCATGAAGTGCTATCATTATCTCATGGTGCTGGAAAGGAGACTGGAGCACAGAGAGGTTAATTGAGTTGCCCACTGCTGTGAGGGATGTCGCAGTAGATGTTTCTAAGCCTGGAACTGCAGCCTGTGCCCCTCATCAGCTGGGAAGGTGGTAAGGGGGGCACTCACCTGTGGCATCGCAAGGAGCACAGTTCCTCTTCCTTTCCTCCCTGGCTCCAAGGACTCACAGAATTGTCAGAGTTGGAAGGGACCTCTAGAGATCATCTAGTCCAAGCAGGATTGCCTGGAGCACATTCCACAAGACTGCATCCAGGGGGGTCTTGAATATCTCCAGAGAAGGGGAGTGCTCAGCCTCCCTGGGAAGCCTGTCCCAGGGCTCTGTCACCCAGCTATGATAAAATGGGCTGCCAGGTCCTGGCAAACCATCCCAGAGAGGGGACAGCACATCCTTGCAAGCAGGAACTGATATTACCTGCAGCATAAGTATCTCTGCAGTGCTATAAGGGCTTCAGCTGGGGTAGCAATGTACAAGCGTGCTGAAGTCCAGGCTTCTTCCCCCAAGAAGAAGACCTGAGATTCAGCTGCCTTGCCCTCAGCATCCCTTCCACCCAAACTCCATTTCTAGCAAACTTTTGAAAACCTGGTTTTGTTGAGCTTTCTGCCAAAGGCAGCTTGGATAGCACAGTGTCAGGCACTGGGGGGGCAGAAGGAGACCTGCAGGTAGCCAGGCAGAGCCGCACAGAATTCTGTTGTCCTGGAGCCAGCACATCTCACCCACACACAACTGCACAACCACCACAGGCAGTACAGCCTGCAAGACGGGGGTGTAACACACCCTGCCCTCTGTGGGGACACTGGCTGTCTGGATTTTGTTCTCCCCCACAGCCTCACCTCCTGTAGCAGCCAGTGGGGCATCTGCTGGAGGACAAAGTGGCCAGAGAACCTCATGTGCAGAGAGCTGATGCGAGAGCAGATCTTGTTATCCGTGTAATGGAAACCCAATTGTGCCACCAGGGAATAGACTCGTTCGCAATCCAGAAAGAACAAATAAACTGTTTTACTGCTTATTATTACTGGCCTGTTTACCAAGGTATAAACAGTGAATGGTTAATAGAGGTCTCTGCAGTGATACATGGTCTGTTTCATGGGTGGAAAAGAACCTGGTTTCTTCACGAGAAGGGTGAGGATTTGGCATCTGCCTCTAAATGCTCTTTGACAATCAGCCTCAGGCAGCACCCAGCACAGTCCCCTCACTGCCTGCGCACTAGGAAATGGTTTGGAAACCAACTGCTGGATTTATACTGTTTTGCAGATCCAATGAAAGACAATTTAGGTGTAAGATGTGCCCCTGCCTTCTTCATGGATGCTCAAGAAATCTCCAGTTCCTACCAGCTGTGTTTTCAAGGAGTGTTGGTGGTGTCTTCTCTTCCTCCTATGGTCTGTTCTGGGACAAGGGAGATAAGAGCTCCCATTCCCAATGAAAGTCTCAAGATTTTGATAGATAGGCCATACTATTTTCTCCCTGTTTGTGGGCAACTCTGCCTCTGCCACAACATCTCACTGCATCTGTCCCACCAGGCTGGAGAGCTGTTTGGTAGTAGAGATGTCCACGGATTATATTTCATGGATTTTTTCACATCTTGTGGAAGAGCATGACCCAGGAGATACTGATGCTCATGCAGTTCCCTCCTCTTCACTTTTCTCTTCCTGTTTCCCCAAGAAATTATGAAACAAAGTAGAAGGGCTGTCCATGGATATTTATGTTTAGTCAAAATTGCATGAAAAAATAACGGAAAACATGAGCCAGGAATGAGAGTTTTGTCTGTGGGAAGGGAGGCTGGTGGCAGCCTCAGAGGTTTGTGTCTAGTGAGGATTCTTCCAGGTCTTCAAACACCTGTTTCCAGCTGGGGAGGGAAGGTCTTGTCCCATCTTCTGTAAATACTCTTGCTATGGCTGGGGGTCCTCCCCACCTCTGCATCACTTTACCTGGGAGGGAGAGAGAGGTCTTGGAGATAGGCAGCAAGCCCCAACCACAGACAAGGACATTGGATGGTGGACAATGATGCTTGCATGTTTTGTAGTCAAGAGTGTCCTGAAACTACTGCTCAGGTTCCCAGAAACAGGACAAGCCCTTAATGCTGGGCCTCCTCCTAGATGCTACACAGCAATGCAGTCAGACGTGGTGTCCTCAATCATCAACCCCCTCTGTGGGCACTGCTGCTGCACACACCAGCACGTGAGACAGTCAGGATTCCCCTCAGCAAAATGCTGCAGCATCAAATCTACATCAGAGCAAGTTGTCTAGACTTCATCTGCTCTCAGCGGAGAGGAACAGACACTTCTGGGGCATCACTCCTCTCCTCCTAAGGTAGACACCTAAATAGGTCAGGCAAATGGTGCCTTGGATGTGCATTGATCTCTCTGCTGCCTGTCATGTAACGTGGGACAATATGCTCAAAGTAGGGTGACCTCCATGGTCAGTGACCACCTTCCTTCATGCTGCCATACACTGCTGGCAACAGCACCCAAATAAATCAAAGGCTCCTTGAAAGCTGGTAGCCAGAGTTAGAAGACAAGTGCCTAACATTTAAGAGGGTGGTTGGATGCATCCCCAGCACTGCTAGATGCTAATTGTCCATCCTTTGTGTTCAGTTTGTGCATCTGTTTTGTTTTGTGCAGGTGAGCTGAGGGACTGAGTGGCCACAGCCAGACCCACAGAGGCAGGTGGAGATGGGGACCAGTGTCACGATGGGCAGCAAAAAGAAAACGAGGAGATGTAATATAAAAAGTGAGAGGAAAGCATGTCTCTAACCCAGAGGGACTCCTCCACACGGGCACCTAACTTCATGACTCCCTTCCCAAGATGCCAGAGACCTGGTGATGTGGGACCAGCCTCAGCCACCCAGGCCTTGGTAGCAGCCCCCGGCTGGTGGCTGCCACATACCGTGGGCACCAAGGTCTGCTTTCTCCACGGGTGCTTCCCCCCCATCTCCAAGCCATGAGGAGAAGGGAGAGGCACACCAAGCTGCCGAAGAAGCACTAGCCCACGTCTTCCCAGACCCTGTCCTGCTCCCCACTTCCAGAAGGCCAGGAACCCCTTCTCCGTGCCGCCCTTCCAGATGGCAGGTCGCCGGTGGGCCGCGACGTCAGCCCTCTGCTTGTGCGTGGCAGCCGTCTCTCTCCTGCACGCCGGCGGGGTGCGGGCAGACTGCTGGCTCATTGAGGGGGACAAGGGCTTTGTCTGGTTGGCCATCTGCAGCCAAAACCAGCCTCCTTACGAGTCCATCCCCCAGCAAATCAACAGCACCATCGTGGACTTGCGGCTGAACGACAACAAGATCAAGAGCGTGCAGTACGCCTCGCTCAGCCGCTTTGGCAACCTGACATACCTCAACCTGACGAAGAACGAGATCTCCTACATCGAGGACGGTGCCTTTTCAGGACAGTTCAACCTCCAGGTGCTGCAGCTGGGTTACAACCGACTGAGGAACCTCACTGAGGGCATCCTCCGGGGCCTGGGGAAGCTGGAGTACCTCTATCTCCAGGCCAACCTCATTGAGACTGTCACGCCCAATGCCTTCTGGGAGTGCCCCAACATAGTGAACATTGACCTGTCCATGAACAGGATCCAGAGACTCGACAGCAACACTTTTCGGGGCCTAAACAAGCTCTCTGTCTGTGAACTCTACAGTAACCCCTTCTACTGCTCCTGTGAGCTCCTCGGCTTCCTGCAATGGCTGGAGGCTTTCACCAACATGACACGCACGTACGACCGGATGCAGTGCGACTCCCCACCCGACTACACGGGCTACTACTTGTTAGGCCAAGGCCGGACTGGTTACCGCAATGCTTTGAGCATGCTCTCTTCCCTTTGCACCGGTGGTTCCTACACTGTGATCCCTCGTTTTATCCCTCCCAGGTACCAGGTGACCACAACACCCTCCGAAAGCCCCTGCTCCGAGGAGGAGTGCTCCTCTGGCGATGGCACGACCCCACAGTTTGCCCTCTTCACGCCCATCGGTGAGACGGAGGTGCGCCCCAACATCCAGGTGAAGCACCTCAACCACAACTCAGCCGTCCTCACCGTTCAGATCCCCTACCCCTTCAGCAAGATGTACATCCTCTCCCAGTTTGAAAACGGCTTCTCCTCCATGATCACCAAGCTCAGGAAGAAGGAGGAGAACATCACCGTGAGCAACCTAGTAGCACAAAGAGATTACACCTATTGTGTAGTTTCTGTCCACCAATACTCGAAGTACAACCACACTTGTGTCACCATCACCCCCACCAGACCCAACCGCAAGGAGCCAGTGCCCACCCCTTCCACTGCCACTCATTATATCATGACAATCCTGGGCTGTCTCTTTGGCATGGTGATTGTCCTGGGAGTTGTGTATTACTGTCTCCGAAAGAGGCGCCAGCAGGAGGAGAAGCACAAAAAGGCTGCTGGTAGCATGAAGAAGACCATCATCGAGCTGAAATATGGGCCAGAAATGGAAACCACCAGCATCACCCAGCTGTCCCAGGGACAGATGCTGGGTGGGGAGACAGTGACCCGCATCCCCTACTTGCCTTCTGCTGGTGAGGTCGAGCAGTACAAGCTGATTGACAGCAGTGAGACGCCCAAGGCCACCAAGGGCAACTACATGGAAGTGAGGACGGGTGACCAGCCTGAGAGGCGAGACTGTGAGCTATCCCTGCCGCCAGACACCCAGAGCTCTGTGGCTGAGATCTCCACCATCGCCAAGGAGGTGGACAAGGTGAACCAGATCATCAACAACTGCATCGATGCCTTGAAATCTGAGTCCACCTCCTTCCAAGGAGTGAAATCGGGGGCAGTCTCCACAGTGGAGCCTCAGCTGGTACTCTTATCAGAGCAGATCCCCAGCAAACATGGATTCCTCTCTCCCGTCTACAAGGAAAGCTACAACCACCCTCTCCAGCGGCACCACAGCATGGAGGCAGCCCCTAAACGTTCCAGCACCTCTTCCAGCGGCTCCATACGGAGCCCCAGGTCCTACCGCTCTGAGGGATCGGGCCACAAATCAGAAGCCAAATACATTGAGAAGACGTCCCCCACCACCGACACCATCCTCACTGTGACCCCGGCCATCCTGCGGGCAGAGGCGGAGAAGATCCGTCAGTACAGCGAACACCGGCACTCGTACCCCGGCTCGCACCAAGGGGAGCAGCACGACAGCATGGCGGGGAGGAAGCCCTCCATCCTGGAGCCTCTGACCCGTCCTCGCCCCAGAGACCTGGCCTATTCTCAGCTCTCTCCTCAATATCACAACCTGAGCTACACCTCCAGCCCAGAGTACACCTGCAAACCCTCGCACAGCATCTGGGAGCGCTTCAAACTCAACCGCAAGCGGCACAAAGATGAGGAGGAGTACATGGCAGCCGGCCACGCCCTGCGCAAAAAGGTCCAGTTTGCCAAAGACGAGGATCTTCACGACATCTTAGACTACTGGAAGGGCGTCTCTGCCCAGCAAAAGTCCTGAGTCCTCACACAACTCATGACTTAACACACTAACTGGACCAAAAGAAATCCGCAGCAGCTATTTTTACTCAGACTGTCTTTGAAAACAAAATAAAATCTATTAAAAAAAAATTAAAATAAATCAATAAAAATAAAAGAGAGAACAAATTATGAAAATCTATAAATATTCTATATAATATATAAAGTGAGATATTAAAATGTCCTCACGTCGGTGAGATAAGCACCAAATTTAACACTAACTTTACAAACAAACAAACTGTGGAGTGAAAAAGAAAGAGTTTTGTTTCATTTTGATTCTTTTTTTTTTGTAAAAAAAAAATAAGAAAAAAAGAAAAAAAAAAGAATATAAAAAGAAAGTGAAAGAGCGGGCAGAGAGCTGAGGTCTGGCCTTTCCCAATATTGCATTGCATGAGTCCCTATTCCGTGATTGTGTGGATTCTTTGTGAACAGTTTTGTGTTATTCCTTCCTTCCCTTCCAAAATCAACAGCAACAAAAACAGCAACACAAACCAAAAAGAGACCAGAAGGAGCTCCCATCCTTTGGGCTGTTTTTGCAAACGGAGTCTTCCACAGTTTAGACTTTCACCCGGTTGAAGGCCCGTTCACATTTTCACTCACCGAGAGGTTTTACCACACATTGCACGGTAAACCGAAGTCATTAACTGTACAGAGAAAATTTCTATATTTGCAATGTTTGCTGTATAATGAGAAAGAGAGAGGATAAAAACAAAAAAAAGAAACAATACTACATCTACTAAAAATATATCTATATATATATATATCTATATTCACCTGTTTGTACCAGGTTTTAATCATGGATTTTAGAGAAAGAGATGGAGTTTGATTTGAAGGACTTTTTTGTTGATTGGTTGGCAGTTGGTTGGTTTGCTGATGGGATATTTTTTGGAGAGAAAGAGGGTTTTGTTTTCTACGTGTTTGGTTTTGATTTCTCCCAACAAGTGTCTGTGTCCAAGTTCTCATCACTTCCAAGTACACTGAGAAAAAAATACTATATCCAGAACAGCAGAATTCTCCATCTTATTCCAGGCGAGAGACCGTCACCATCAGGAACAGGGAAGGGGATGAGAAGTGAAGGGCTCTTGGTTGAGCAGGTGCCACCAAGCAATGGGATTTCTCCCACAAATTAAAAGGTATCAGCCTCTCCCCATAAACAGACATATCTGGAGAGGCGTGGTCCTTGGGCCAGGTGGTGAGGGGTGGGATATCCCCTTACCCCACAGGATGGGCTGCTAGCAATGGGTTAGAGCAGCAAGAGCAGCTCTCCAGAGAAGGACAACACTGAGGGGTGATTTCCTGAGGGAGAAGACAATCAGCCTTTACAGCTTGACCATAATGAGAGCTATTACAGTAGACAGAGGGGTCCTACCCCTCACTCCTGGGACTCCTACCACTCTGTGTCCAGCAGGTCCCCCACTGACAGACCTAAAAGCAGCCACAGCCTCAAGCAGTGAGCGCAGCCCCTCCCAAAGCCCCATTTGGCTCAAATTTCATGAGTGGCTTTGGAGATGGACCCCCTGGGGAGCTTCTGAACAGCCTTTAGGACTCCAAGACTGGAAGGGAAGAGGATGGCCCTGTATTTGTGTCTAGTTTCCACCCAAGCAGCCACATGCCCTTCAACCGCTGTTCTCCAATACTTGTTCAAGACTCAATACCTTTTTTGCCCCATCTCTAAAATACTCACAGATGATGCCCTATGCATGGGGTGAGCAGGAGGAGGGAGGCATTGAGGCCATGAAGCCAATCCCAGGCCATGCTGGTGGCTGAAGGACACATTTTGCCCCAGTCAGCTGCAGCTGAGTTGCAAGCCCCTATGTCTCATCCCACGACTGACATGAACCAGGGCCCACATAAGCACTGGGAATATGCTCTGCTCCCCCAGTGGGTGGGTGGCAGCCCAGGAAGCTGGGATAGTGAGGCTCCTGAAATGCAGCCCTTTGGGGCCCTGCTGCTTGCCAGAGTTTTTCCCTTGCATCCTGCTTACAAGTCTCTTTGGATGGGCATCCTGAGTCCTGATGGATGAGCACTAGGGCCCAGAAGCAAACCATATCCCATCCTGTTATTTCAATATTTCAGAGCGATTTTGACAGGTATTCTTGTGAAAGGTTATATTTGTTCAGAAAGGAGCTGAGTAAGGAAGACACAGAGCAGGCTGGGAAGTGCACAAGCTCATTCTCCCTGGTTATTTGTGCAGACAACAAACCATTAGTGGGGTTTCATTATAAAAGGCAGGCAATTTCCCCGGGAACATATTCACTCCACATGAGCAAAGACACATTCCCCCTCTTCCAAGAGCCCCAGATCCTGCCCACAGCACACATGGGAGCTGAGGATCACCCCTCTTGTGTTTCATGACATGATGGAGGGTCCCTCCCCAAATCTCAGCTGTAGCACCTGGACTAAAGCAAACCCTTCACCTGAACCCCCCTTCCCTTGCAAACCCTGAGTGCCTCCTGGAGAAACAGGAGTCGGTCAGCGAGGATGGATGGGTGAAGTGGTGGCAGGGCCTCCTGACACTGTTTCATGGTGTCAGTGAGGCTGGAATGGTTAAAGGCAATGGCAGTTCATCAGTTAATTTGGGCTCAGATGCTCCAGCAATGGGAGTCACTGATAGAAACCAAAAGACCTTCCTCAGTCACTCCCTGAACTGAAACCAGTTCCCACACCAGTTTGTAAATGACATCATGACCATCTCCACAGCAGCCAGGAGTGATGGTACAACCAGCAGAGCATAAAGCCTAGCTGTGGAGGCAGCAGCACATCAGCACCAAGTTTATCTTTTACCTGGGGCGAGTAATTTTGCTCCTCTCTGCCTCTGTTTCCTCCTCTGCAAAACGCTTCCTTGTGGTGTCAAGGATGTAGGCTGGTTTGGGCTCAATTAATTAATTGCCTGTCTGTGAAGCCCATTTAGCTCCTAGAATAAAAGCTGCTATAGAAATGCAAAGTTGTTAGTGGCATAAAACAGCAGGGGCAGATGAAATCAAAGCCCCATTCTGTTTTCACACCAGGATTTCACTGGTCGTAAACCAACAGAGACCAATACAGGAAATGTGATACAGCAGCGTTGGTCTTCCTAAATTAAACACTTCCCAGATGCAAAACTCACTGCAGCTGGAGAAAAGGAGGGCTAGAAAAGGTCTAGGCCCCTCCATAACCATGGTACCTCCAACGGAGCTACCTGCAGATGCAGCACCATCTACCCTATAGTTGATGGGGCCCCACCACTGGTCTTGAGAACTCCAGGTGGCTCCTTGGGTGATGATGCAATGGCCATGCAGCAGAGCACCCTCCATCCTCCTTTCTCACCCTCCAAGACAGGGTGCAGTCCTGGCAGCTGTGGTGCACTCGGCATGAGATGCCACAAGATGAGCTGGGACAAAAGCCAAGCAAGACAAGGGAAGAAGTCTCAGTATCCCCAAAGCCACTGCCTCACACATGGACTTCCTTGGTGCTTCAGCACTGGTCCTAGTGAGCTCTGTCCATGGTGCCCCTCACATCCCCAAGGCAGCTGCTTCACAGACCTCTCTGAGGACAGAGAAGTTTCATCACCTGTGACCCCTTAGGTTCTTTTCTTCTTTATCTTATCTCCCGTTCAACCACTAAAGCTCTTGAGCTGCTTCTGCAAAGAGAGAATATACCTTGTCCAGCCAGGCTGATCCTATTGCCCCAAATGCATCCAAGGCAAGAGGGCCCCCAGCCAAGCAGGGAGGAGGGGGCACAGGAAGACAAAGACCAAGTGAGGAGGAGGGGAGGCTGGTTGAAAGTGCTCTCCCTTGCTTTGCCCAACTGCAAGGGACAATGGGGACCAGTGGAGTGGGAGCCAGCATAGACAGCAACTGCCAGTGCTGAGGACCCAGAGGTCCACATACCCCCCTCCTGCAGCAACCTAAGCTCTGCCACTGGAGAGCATGAACAAAGAGAAAAGAAAGGTAGGGAGAGGGATGAAAGGTGGGGAGAAGTGCGAAGTGCAGAGGCAGGGGAGGGCAGAAGCAGGAGGAGCAGCTGTGCCCAGCATGGGACAGGTTGAAGCCCCTGGAGTGAAGCCCCTCAGTGAAGATGCTGAGAAAAGCTGCTCTAAGAGAGATCTTTTTTTTAAGCAAGAGCTGTTGTTTCCCTGTGGCGATGAAACAGAGAAAAGGAGCAGAGGGACCTGTGGATGCTTCTGCCCTGCACTGCTTTGAGAAGCTTCCTCGCTGGCCGAGGTTGAAGGGAGTTGTGTGTACTCCTGGGAAATGCTTCTGGAGAGCTTTGAAGGCAGCTGCCTGCGGCTGTGCTGAGCTGCCCCATCACTTTTCTCACCCCTCCAGGACACTCCTCATGAGCCCTCCTGTACCACAGGGTCTCTGGGCTGCCAGCCAGGTGTGATGCATGTATGGGAGGACAGCTCAGTTGCCCAAGACCCCCAAACTCATCACCATGGTGGACATGGCTCTGCAGCAATCAGGAGCTGCAGCATAACCCTCCAGTCATGCCCTTGCTGCAGCCTCCCTGCCTGTCATGCTCCAGAGCAATGAATCACCTTGTTTGCAGCAGAGAGGGGTTAGTACGGGTGGGGGACAGTGCAGGGGGGGGAGGTGGCCTGACCACACAAGCCCTTTGGGCAAGGAGGGGCCCCAGGGGGTGTGGAGGGTTGTGCTGTGATGAGCAGCAGCGCGTGCAGCCTCGGGCTGTTCTCAGCGCGGGCGGCAGAGCAGGAGTTTGGGAGCACGTCAGAATTTATTTGCATCTGTGAGTGCTCGTCAAGGAGAGGACAATGCGCCTCCCGGGTTCAGCATCACCCTCCCTGCCCTTTTTGGAACTAGCTCACCTTGGCTTCAGCTCCTCCCTGGTGCACACCATGTCCTTCTCCCCTGCAGAGCCCTGTGGGGACGGTGCTGTTGCTGCGAGGCTTGGAGTGAAAGCACGTGTGGATGCTCGTGGTCACAACATGGGGACAGAGAAGAGCAGAGGGGTTGGGCTTCAGGGGATGAGGGGGTTATTTGGGACAAGGCCTGATCCTGCCTGAAATGTGCAGGAATGTGGACAGGTCCTGTCCTGTCCTGTCCTGCACAATGTGGTTGC